AGACGGGCCGGCGGCTGGCGCGCGTGTGGCCGCAGGAGGCTCCCGACTCGGACCGCATCACCAACCAGCTCATGTTCGTGCCGCCCGAGCCCGCACCGCCGGGCGACGCCCCCGCCCCGCAGGCCGCGCAGCGCCTCAAGAAGATCCTCATCTACAACGGCCTCAGCTCGTGGGCCTCCATCAAGCCCGGCCGCGACGCCTTCCTGCGCCAGAAGTGCCCCGTCGACACCTGCACCATCACCGCCAACAAGGCCGAGGCCGCCGACGCCGACCTCATCCTCTACAAGGACCACTTCGTCAACCCGGGCGTGCCCCGCCCGCCCAGACAGGTGCGTCTCCCTCCCAACCTCCGTTCTCTTTCAATTGCCCCTCCTCACAATTAGGTAGCACATTTAGGCAAAGCCCTATTGCTTCGAATAAATACCAATATCTTATAATTATTCTCTAAAGTTCTCGTATTTATCGTCTTCTTTTCTGTACATCATTTTTTACGTGCTTTTTGATGCACTATTAAATTTGCTGCCAAATTAGTTAATATATTGTAATTTATCCATCTTAAATTTATTATTTCCACATTAATAACAATGATATCTGAGAGACACGTTGATGCACAAATATGCTCGTAAGTCATTGGTATATCATTCTCCAAGTCCAACATCATTAAAGCAAAATTATCATCTGCAAAATAAATATAATAATGTAAACTATGATCCTGAAGGAATTGAGTAACTTTGTATTACTTTTCGTTAGTTTTAATCGAAAGCAAGATTTTATCTCTCTTTGTCAAAACGCTGTGCTAGGACCCCTCGACGAAAGTAATAACGGAAAAGGCAGATTATACTGTCTTCATGAGCAACCCGAAATCTACTTCTTCCCGAGGGCCGAGAACCAATTCGCGGAGTCGTGCGATGCCTCAGTCAATCGTTTGCTCTGCAATCTCCACTCGCCGTTCGCGTCGGCTCTAGAAAAAGAAATACGAGAACCGAAGGAAGAGACTCGCAATGCCATTCGGCTGAGAGTATCGGCAAAGCCCCTCCCCCGCGCCACCCCCCCTAACCCTGTTTCCACCCCTCGCTCGCCCACACCCACGCCTTGCGAGATCAAATACAGCTCGTAGGTTTGTGATTGTGCGAACGCCCCGTCCCCAATCCCTTTCTTGGGGGGACACACTCCGCCCACTCGCGCGTCGCTTCCCTGCGGAATCTCCCTCTCCGCCTCCCTGCGGGGCGACCGCGCGACATTTGCGTACAGTCACGGCCGCCACACTGAGAAAAATGCTTGTTTGTTGCCAACAGATGGATGTATGCGGCATGTAGGGCAGTCATCATTGTCGTTTATTACCCAACCTCATGCACAATTCACTTAATGAGGAAACAGTTCAATAAAATATTTCCCTTTTTCCTCAGACACGTTCATTCCAACTTTGATAATGTTTTTGGGAGTTTTAGATACTTTTATCCCAGTGCGCCATTCCACCAGAGCCACTGCCGTTCTGCACCTTGCTAGCTTAAGTTCCATAGTTTCGAGCGCCTTCAGTGGCCTGGTCCAAACTTGTTCACGAGAGGGCATAAACAAATGAGCAAGAGTTTCTTTTTCATTATTATACTCTGATTTAAACATAGCATCACTTGTAAGTCACGAGCTGGACGGACAAGGGGCACTATCGTCGGATGGGAAGCTTCGTTATGACTTAAATTTTTGGTATTGGAGCTTCCGATTGGAAGACAATGTCTCCAATTCCGTCCAGCTTTAAAGTGCCACAATGTTTACATCGGAGTATAACACATCTATCCCAAAACGCCGAACTCACTACAATCACCATGAGGATGTCACCGTATCGCGTTCCACGAGTCCCTTCCTCCAGCTGCCTCGCTGCTGCTTAGCAATCCCCTAGCGCATGCGTCGCCGCCGGCAAAGCTTTCGTCCTTTGTCACCGCCTGCACCCGCCCTCGAAAACCGCGCCCTCCCCGCCTCCGCAATCCCCTCTCTCGCCTGACCCGCCTCGCTTTGTCCCGCGGCACTCCTACCCGCACCGTGCCATCCGCTTCTCCTACTTTTTGCTCTGTCGTACAAGGCCAACCCTCCTCAGCACTCGCATCCGCGACCTGCACCGCCTTGCCTCGCCTCTCCTACCTCACCTTCCGGCCTGCGTCCCGCTCCGCCTCTCCCTGCCACGCCCTGCCCGCCCCGCCCCGCCCCGCCCCGCCCCGCCCGCCCCGCTCCGCCTAACCCTAACCAAAAAAAAAAAAAAAAACCCGCGCCCTGCCTTGCAGTCCTCGAGCCCCGCGGCGCACCTTAGCTGGAATCTGTTTGCGAGAAGCGTTCGCAAGTCTCCGCCCCAGGGTTTGGAAACGAGCGGCGTTTCAGTCCTGGCAGGACGTCGTGCAAAATGGAAGCGCTTTCTCCGCTGTCCTCTGGGGTAGAAACGGCGCGAATCGTCACGTAATCGCGGAGCTGTGTATTACGTCTACATCATATGATGTCATAATAAAAACTGCAAGGAAATAATAGCCGTTATCTTCATTGTCAGTTGCTTTGATCGAATAATTGGTTGGCACTTATGTGTTGCCTATTTTTTATCCATAATTTTATCTGTCTACCTTGCCTCCCAGAGTAGATAATACACCAAAAATAAATACTGGAAACAACTGTGCTGCATAACAATTTTTTTAGTGCACAACTACGACGCAATTAGACGTTTTTAATCGTACTTTTGCATTGTAGGTACCACCTTCTCGTTATTAAATGTTCTCGTTACTAATACTTTCGTGAAATGGACTTTTCCGCACCTTTCTCCCCAACCACAAGGTATTTTCTCACATGTCGTTCTCGTCTTCGTCTCTTTCTCGGCAGCGAAAGTAAAGTGTAAAAAGAACTGAATATTGTTTGATTACCTGACATTTTATGTATTGATTAATAATAATATTCCGCGACTGCTGTGATTATATATTCGATTCAATACAAGAATGCTTAACGTTATGCTTAATGCTTAATGGACTTCAATTTTCCGCACCTTTCCACCTTTCTCCCCGACCACCAGGTATTTTCTCAAATGTCGTTCTCGTTTTCGTCTCTTTCTCGGCAGCGAAAGTAAAGTGTAAAAAGAACTGAATATTGTTTAATTACCTGACATTTTATGTATTGATTAATACTAATATTCCGTGACTGCTGTGATTATATATTCGAGTCAATACAAGAATGCTTAACGTTACAAATTATATAATGTCTACACAAAACAATCAACACACGAATACGAATCATCAGCATACGAACTTTTTTAATTCATATATTTTTTATCTTCTGCATGTCTTTTTAAAATATTATCTTTATAACACGTGTATGTATATCTCTCGTATTTATTGGTCTGATGTGTTCATGTACTCACATATTCTCCACAAAGGAGAATCTTCTCTTATGGTTTTGGGTGCTGCCGCAGGTATGGGTGTTGTACTTCTTGGAGTGCCCATACCACACGCAACACGTGAAGTTCAACGACGTGTTCAACTGGACGGCCACCTACCGACGAGACAGCGATATAGTGGCACCGTACGAGCGATGGGCTTATTACGACGAGCATATCAAGCAAAACCCGCACATGGACCGGAACTACGCAGCAAACAAAACAAAGAAGGTGAGTGACGAATGCTGGTGCAGACCCAACGCTCAAATCGTATGTAATCCATTTTATATGTTTTAAATCTTCGCGAAAATAAGTACGCTTTGTGAGACGACGATTATTTAGTGTTCTCCCCTTGGAAATGTAGCACACAACGTAATAACCAAAAATTAATACACTTCAGAACAACTTGGAATTTTGAAATCATAAAGGCACAAATTATTTCGATACAATATAGTATTATGTTTTATTAAATGTTATCCCTCAAGAAAATAATATAATACAGATTTGTAAAAGTTCTTAAATCTCTCATATTAATAACTTAGCTAATAAGCGGTAGCCAAAATATTCTATATGATTTTGGTGGCACCATACAGAAAAGCTCACAAAAATTCCCAAGGAAACAGAAAGTTGTTTACCAGATTTTTAAAATTATTTATTTTATTCAAATGAAACTCGTGGGAAATTAAAAAAATAGTTAGCAGTCAAAGTAAGCAAGTAGTGTGTCAAGTTACGTTTAGAGAAATTAAATATTGATTTAGATGGTAAAATAATACAAATAAAAAATATTCAGTTTTTATTTTTATGTATACCAGATTTTCAGTGAGCGCTGCAAAATGAAAACAGAAACCAAATGAAGAAGCAAAAAGAGTCAGCACTTGATTCTCGCAACAGTCAGACTGTTGATGATGATTTTTCAACGCTAAGTCGTAGTACCACACGGTGACTTATGCTCTTGTTTCGATAATTCTGATCTTAAAGTGACTTGTGATACTCGAAATCAGTGGTCTTCAGAACGGAAAATTAACTCCAACTAAATACAAAATAAGCTCAAAGGGTCACAGTGCTGTAGCAACACGTAATCCAGAATGAATTGCGAGAAGTAGAAAGACCGTTCTAAACACAGATACCATTTTTGTGATAATTATTTATGATTTACTCTCAATGAAGTAAGAAAATATCTATCAGAGTGAACGTAATATATTTTAACGAATCAAACAAATGCAAATACCAGCTTTTAAAATTTACACAATTAGTCACAGTCGGTTTCTAGAATTTTTAGTACCTTGAAGGTCGATAATGTTCGTTTTAGAGTATGTAATCTAAATAATAACAATAAAAATAAAATTAAAACAATAACTTTGCAACGCTGCGTAGTACAATTACTCTTTACAGAATGCGGACTTCCTATAGAGTAGGAACCAGAAAGAACTCTCCACGTTTTGACAGCTGGCAAAGCAAACACCCGCGTGACAAACTGACTAATTTCAAGCGCCGCCGTCGATAATGAACGGCTGTCAGTGGAGCGCATTCGCGATATCGCCGGACGTCTGTGTTCCCAGTGGATGCGCGCGGTGTTATCTCTGACCGCGTTGTCGCTCAGTCCCCGCGCCGAGCCGCCCCCAGCCGGGCAGAGGCGGTCGCCGATTGATCCCCCCGGAGCGGGCCTGGCCGCGAGCCCTCGCGTCCCCCAAAGAGGGCGCTTCACAGAGGCGCGCCTGCAGCCGGCGGGATATGCAACCCGCCCACACGAGCCCCCTCGCCCGCTCTCTAGGCCGCTCTCCACGCACTGGATACGACACTGACAAAATCATTAATCGATGGCGGTATTTCGATTGGCCGGGTTTATTCGCCTCACATTCACACATGCGTTCGTCGTCAACCCGACTGACATCCTGATAATGAAAGTAATTTATTGACATCAATTGTTAAAACGCGTATTTCTGTAATGTATTCCTCTTAAAGGCGCGTTTCCAGCCGGCGAGGCATGTAGCCTGTCCAGATGAGACTCACATTACTGAACGTACTATCTAGGGAGCTATAAATGCATTTCATAGGACACTCACCAAATGATTAAGGTAATCGATTATAGAATGTCGATTGCATTTTTTTTTCTTCGCAAATATACTTGTCATAAATTCGATTGTCATACTGATGAAGAAAGTAATATATTGAGGGGAATTACTTTTATGTTTATTTCTGATATAAATTCAACTAATGTAAGAATACCATTTATAAATCAAATGACGGACGCTTTGACAAAAAGAAAGAAAACTCATTCTCGCTTCAAATGTCTCTCATCCACATAGATTTCCATCTGTAATTTGACGTTTCTGTTCTTCTTTAGGATATCTCCCACTACATTACATACATAGTGTATCTCCAATTTAAAGCTTTTTATTTTATAAACATTTTTTTGAGGTGCATATTAAGAAAATTTACATTTGCAAACATTTTGTATGAGGTTTCTGAGCTTATTTATTGATTACAAATATAACATAGCTGCCAATTATAAAATATTTTACAAAATTATTTGCGCATTCTGACGACCGGCCTTAAGCGATAATCTTTCCGAAATAGTAGATATGCCCTAATTATATATATATATATATATATATATATATATATATATATATATATATTACATTTGTCCAAAATGCCTTCTTGCATTTATGATATAACGATATAAATATTAAGATGTTATTTCAAAATATAATTTTTTTAAATTTAAATATAAATCGATTGGAGAAAACAATTGAATACGTCTCCAATTGTCTCTGAAACATACACATCCGAGCAAAAGTAAAAAATCCTACCTTGCCCTTACCCAGTCTCTCGCCCATCAGTAATACAGTGTGCGTGCGTACGTTCACTTGCACATAACCCATCACTGTTACTTGAGTGTGAATGAAGTGCCTCGTCTTGTTGCAGGTGGCGTGGTTTGTTTCCAACTGCGGCGCGCGAAATCGTCGCCTGCAGTACGCCCATGAGCTCCAGAAGTACATCCAAGTGGACATCTACGGCGCCTGCGGCACCAAGAGGTGTCCGCGCTCCTCCGCCAACAAATGCCTGCAGATGCTCGACCGCGACTACAAGTTCTACCTGGCATTCGAGAACTCCAACTGCAAAGATTATATTACGGAGAAGTTCTACGTCAACGGGTTGGGGTGAGTGGTTGTGACCTTCAGAGCTTATACGCGAAACTTTCTTGCGAACAATCATTAAAAATTTGGCTTCAACTCTCAGCTTTTCAGTAGGAATTAGCTTTTTCCGAATTGTAATCCACCAAAATATGTCGTGGGCGTCGAGATCTTTTAACGATCTGCCCCCGGTGATAGGCAACCGCTCCAACACTAAAGTTTGACTCATAACTTATGGTTGCTTTAATTCGAACGAAATTGTGTTTCTGTACAGAGTTAGAATAAAATATTTTATATTATTAAATGAACGTACAATACGAACCCAACGGTCATACAGTTCAATCACTTCTAAAAAATTCATTTTTAAAACAGTTCACATGAAATCAATAAATTGAGAACAAAATCCATATTTACCGACGTTGAGATATTTTCTAAAGATCTTTAAAATATAATGAACTATACACGTTGCATAAAATTATTATATCTACTGACTAAAGATGTTTCACTCTTAAATTAAAAAAATCAACGCTCAAAGATCTTACTTTAAATCCCTTATATAAGTTGTAAGAAATATATTATTTTCATAATTCGTGGCTAATTTTCCATTAATCACTGATTGATTCACAAGGATTACTATTAGTCTTGAAGACTGTGTAAATCAGGGCTAAGAACCTATTAATGCTTTCCCGACGATGTGCTTCCTTGGTGAAACACATTCTTGTCACACGTACCTTGAGAATGCGTGGTTCAGTGCCACATTTGCCTAACCCACAAAGTGACTTCTTCCCATACAGCTTGGCTCTGAACGATCGTTCTATAAAAACTTTTTAATCCTTCCGAATCAATGAATCGTTTATTGGATTAAACTGTCTGTTTGTGCGAATTAATCACACATTCATTCACTCAGGAGGATAAAGAATGTTGGCAGTAATGTAACATCATTCAGAGCCCTCCTTTGAACTTAAACAAATCCAGACCTATCCTAATAAAGGACTTCGCCCCTCCAAAGTGCCTTGTGGGCGGAGTGAATGTCCCTCGAGGGCTGTCGTGAACGCGACGTGTGGCTGTCGCAGGCGCAACGTGCTGCCCATCGTGATGGGCGCGCGGCCCGAGGACTACGCCCGCAACGCGCCCTACCGCTCCTACATCCACGTGGACGAGTTCGACTCGGCGCGCGAGCTGGCGGCCTACCTGCTGCGGCTCGACGCCGACGACGACCTCTATAACACCTACTTCCGGTGGAAGGGCACGGGCGAGTTCATCAACACCTACTTCTTCTGCCGGCTGTGCGCCATGCTGCACGATGACTTCCCGGTGAAGTCGTACCGCGACGTCAACGACTGGTGGCGGGGGCCCGGCACGTGCACCGGCGGCAGCTGGCGCAAGGCCATGAGGAGCACGGCGCCCGGCGGGTAAGGCGCCGCGCCGCCGCCCTTTGTTACTCTGTTGACACGCACGAGGGGGCGCGCGAGGGAGGGGAAAGCAACGGACAAATGGGCGCCGCCGCGCGCCGTGCCGCCCCAGGTACCTTCTCTCCTGAGTTGCATTTTCGTCGTTTTCTGGGTGTTGACATCCCTCGCACCCCCTCTCCCGAGCGCCATCGTCTCCCTTTTGTCCTTGGACGTGTATACGTTGTACTTGCATGTATGTTGCAATAAATGTCGTACAAGCTGCCTAACCTCGCGTGCTCTGAAACAGAACGCGTCATGTCGCGTCGTCTCTGAGAAAAGTGAAACGAACGAAAGCCAGTCGTAGCTTCCCATCGGACTGTCCTGTCCTGAATTTTAAGTGCGGGTTTGGAATCGGTTCGTTGCGCCCGAAGTGGTGTTTTCTTTCTTTTTTTTTAAGTCTGAAATCGTTGAGCGCGATGATTGTTGAGAGTTCATTCCGTTCAGTTGAGATGGCGGCTAGTCCAGCAGCAGCAACAAGGCGACTCTTCAGTATTAGGCGATTTATATAGCAATCTAATAATCGTTCGCTCGGGTCCTTCTTTAGCTTCCTTGTCTATATAATATTTTACCGAGATGAATCCCAGCAATGTTACATCTATGTATAAACAATTCGCCTCTCTAATAAAATTGCTCTAGCCATTTCAGTGTAGTGCTGACATTTAGAGTCGTCTCGTATTTATAGAGGATAAACAGTGACGAAGATAATGGCGCTATGCTAGTCCTATTGTTCAGAAGTGACTATTAATATTGATTGGTGCTGAAGACTTGCAGAAATAAAGAGAGAAAGTGAGTTCTGTGAGTGGGCATATACTCAACCCACTGTTGTTAAAGACGTGTGATGGAGCAAAGAAACCAAAATGTTTCTAGTTGATTGTGCACTTCTATAACGAATTTAGTTTGTAGAAGAGTTTATATAAGGATGCATTTCGTGAGTAAATGATTGTAAATACTTAAATTAATGTGTGAATGAATGTAAAAGTATATGAATATGTGTGTTATGTATACATTGTTTAAGATATTTCCATAGTCAAGCATGATGTTGGTACAATTACCTTGTTATGAGTGGAAAATTAAGTGTTTTGATCTCACAAGAACAACCATCATTTTTCTTATATGCAGGGTGTACTAGATAGTTTATGCAATTTGAAAAACGGGTGATTGTTTGTGTTATAATATGAACGAAGCTCCTCTATGTTATTCACAGTATACACAGTATACAGAGTTAACAACCAATTCCATAGTGTTCTAGGGTCTAGTTCAAGGATTGCGTGTTTTCTTAGACAGTATTATGTATGTTTTTTAACTGATTGCATGGCAGTGAGAAATAAAATGTGTTGAAATTTGGGTTATTTTATGCTGATTCATCAAGTAAAGATTCTTTGAATCCTTCTGTTATACAGCTGAGTTTGAGAAACTCAGTTGTATATTGTCTCACTACTGTGCAAAAATTCTTATTAGAAAAGATGAAACATGTTCAATGGGTGGTTTGAAATTACTTCCAGAGGCTACCTTTGCTGCCAGTATCTATTATTGATATTGAAACATTTATATGTGAAGGAGAAAGAAGCACTTCTTCTGTTGGCATACAAAAATTTACTTCCTACTCTTTTCGTTCTTGTGCTTCTGCAACGCATTTACATAAAAAGCTCTTGTGCGAGTATTATGTGCTCGCTTTTCTTTGAAATTGCTGTTTACGTTTACTTAAATTTTACTAATTTGAGAGTGATGTACAATTAAAACCAGTTTCCTAGATTTCTATTCCATTATCAAACACATAAATGTTGATAGATGTAAAAAAACATTTCACAGCTGAGATGGGCAATCGATTGGATGATATGAGAATGAAAATTATTTGCCAATAGTTTATTGTTGCTGTTGTATGTATGATATTATTAGCAAAAAGCATTGTCAAGGGTTAAAAGTTGTATGTAACAGTTTGTGCTTGGTAGTTACTGGATGTATTAGTGAATTCTGCTCATACGTTATTATTTCGCCAGTATCGTTACAAATGATACTTGTGAGTACCAGATCCAATACAAAGAACATTTTAGGTAATAACAATGCTAACTCTCTTTACACCCTGTTATAAGGGAAATGTATCTCTTTCAGAATATATAATATAAATGTAGCTTTATAGACAACAGTCATATCAACAATTTGAAGACTCTTTCAATGCCTTCATCCACAAACCACAACTGCTATAAAACATAAGAATGGCATTTACAATCAGTATTACAATACATGCCATCTCTCTATTGATTATTAATTTACTATTCGATTGACTTTGACATTCCTCAAGTAAATTGTAGATAAGAATGTCATTTAAATCACGTAATGGAATTTTGTTTCCAAATTCAGATGGAAAAAGAATCAATTTCACTCCAAATATTCTTATGAACATCTGCATTTAAATATCACATCTTGTACATTATATAATATTAAATTGTTCATGTTTATTAATAAAATATTCTTTCCAGGCATTAGAAGGAAATAAAATAAAAATGCCTATTTCCTTGGACTAACAGAAATACATTTTCACAATGTATTTCTCTCAAGAGAAACTCAAGAGCTGTTTCATGTACCTCATTGCGTCATTGCTCACAAATAATATTCATGGCATATTTTAACATAAAACCTATAGGAAATGAATGTAGAGAACTTGCATGTCATACATTTTGATGGAAAATGTAAACTGTTTTAGAAGTATATTACATAGATTATTAATACTTCTATGTCTTTAAAATTTTTGCACTATGTATTTTCTGTAAGACCAAGGAAATATAATGATTGCATTGATTTTAGAAAGTATATTGCATTAAGTGAAAATGATGTGAGTGTGAAAAATGTGTGCAAAATATTTTGCTCAGTTTCTTGCATAACAAAAAAATATAAAATTCCAAAGATAGGGAGCACACTATTTTCAATCAGTATTTTTTCTAGTGTGAAATTTGTCTTGCGCCAATAAGTATTTTGAAGCCAATGTCAGAAAAGTATTTTTTTCTATGAATCAAATAATCTTTTTTGAATTCAGCACAACTGGTATTTCTTCTTCGTTTATTTTACAATTGAAGTAAAATAATGCACAATATTTGTTTGCTCATTTATTTAGGCAAGCACAAAGAAAGGAAGGTACACAATGTTTATTTCCCAGATGAAATAATGTAAGCAATAATTCTTATTTAGTATTGTAAGTTGAGGTTTCTCTTCTTTGCGCTTTTTGCGTTGAAACAAACTAATTTCAAAGTATCAGTGACTTACCAATTCTGATACTCAACACAACTTATGCAATATTAAGTAGAGACTATGTGTGAAGTACATAATGCTCCAATTTGTAGGGGAAAATAAACATATTGTGAATCTAATTCATTGTCATTTCTTTGTTAACCTTGTGTACCATCCCAATTTTCGGTTCCATAGTGATTAGAAAATTCAAATGAATCTACATTTGATTCTGGTTACAAACTTCAAATAGTGTAAATATTTTTAGATATATTTGCCCTCAGATAGCTAAATATTTTACTTCATTAGTTTAAGTAAGTATTGGATGAGCTTGTGAAACAATATACAAATTATATTAATTGCTAATTGAATTAGGAAAAGATGATAAATATGTACACTATGGTAACTTGGTTTTTAAATTACATGTCAAAAGACAGTACACATTTTGAAATTTCAGGAGAGATATTAAACTATGTTCAGATTGAGGCAAACATGATTAAAACATACTAGAAAATTCTTACAAAAATTTGTATCAGAACAATTATATGATCAAGGTCGGTTTTGTGGCACGACGTCTCAGCGGTCGTCTCGGCGTCACATAAAATGAAGCAGTTACGAAAAAGGAAAAAGCTACGCCTTTCCACCTTCACCTTTCAAAGCATATAAAAACACAAAAAAGCTTACTAGGGTCACTTTTATTTACATCTCTAAGACATAGAACTACCCTCTCTTCTGAAATATCTCCTATTCGCAGTCGATGCAATCCTTTTCAAATACGTCTAAACATCGATATAGATTCAACCTACAATTTAACCTCTTATTTCAAGTTTATCCTTGAGTCTTTAGTATGATAAGAGGTGAATATATTTCAACTCATCCAAAAGTTCAACATCATTATTCATATTACGAAGAGCCCACACGACATTCTCAAATTCTTCAATTCCCTGGCGGTGTTCCACACACGTAGTCAGCACGTTGAGGTGATTTTGACCCCCCAACTAACTTCGAATGATCATGGGGAATACCACGAGTACTTTGGCTTCGATAAATCCCCGAATGGCGAAGGGAAGAGGGAATGTATCTAAGAATTTCCAAAGCACGAGTGGCATTTAATAGAAATGTTCCTCGAATGAAATAACGTTCAACACAGTTCCAAAATATGTCAAATATTGAAGTAACTTCAAGGGTGTTAAAATCAAAGAGGTTATGTTATGGTTTATTACACATTGTTTCAGTGATCGACATATAGCGTCTCCTAAGACAGATGAGTCACAGCTTATTATTGGCCAATAGGAAGGAGCGGTAAGAAGACTCGGCTAGAAAAAGCGATAATTTTTTTGAGATGCACCGCCCTGATTAAGGCATATTATATGTATAGTTAAACACTGTTGGTTTTAATTTTACGAGCGGAATAGTCAAATTAATTAAGTTGCAAGTTAGGCTTACGGAAAATCAATGCGACAAATACCCTTCTGCAACTGTCCACATCTTAACCATTTCTTAAACTTGCAAACTCGTTATATTTACAAAATCATCATTCACCCAACTCTAAACGCGCCTCATCACACAACCGTGTCCTAAATTGCCTAAACACGCAGTTTCACAATAATATTAGCATTGATATATGGTATATCAATGGTAACATTAATTTATTAATTTATAATTATTTCCATTAATTAAACTTGTGACGCTACAAAGTGGCACAGACTTTATCGTATTACTTAGTTTCCATTTCTGGGAGCTGAGCTAGCTTTTTGGTTTTCCCCACCCTCTCCCTAGCAGCTATTCTCGTCTGTTACCTGTTAGCGTCCAGAAGATCTACCAGGACCTCTCGCCTACCGCTGTCTGGGGTTTGCCCCAGTAAAGGGGACCTTCGCTTTGATTGGTTGATTGATTAGTGATTCCCGACGCGACTGCTAGTGCCATTAGTCCCGTAAGTGTAGTGCGTGCTTTTAGCCACCTTCTCGGGAGGTGGCCGTGCTTTTAGCCGCCTTCTTGGGAGGTGGCCGTGTATGGTGAGATTGGGCGCCGACCAACCTGACGGATAACTTAGTTTTACCCAACCAGGTATATCCCACCGGTGAGGCACAGTCCCCACCCGGGGCATGCTCTAAGCTTCCGACCGGTCTCCCGGCGTATATGAAAGTGTAGTGCATGTAAGTGTGTTTATAAGGGCTGAGGATAGGACAAAGAAGAGGAAGGAAAGATCGCGCGCGACCCGTGGCCCATTTGTTAGGGTACTGTTAAGGCATTCGCCTTGTATTGATCGGAGAAATCACGAAAAACTACCGATCAGAGCAGCCAGCCGCTAAAATGCTTCTCTAGAAAGCATCTTTGCGCTACCCCAACATCATGTATATCTATCACGATACTGTACCTTGCCCCTTGGTTCCATCTCGCTGCTTGAAACATTGTTTTTGGTGTAGGGTCCCAAATTCTCAATTACACACAAGCACATCTCACACCCTGTTGTCTGTCAAGCCTAGAGATTATAAAAGGATTCGCGTACAGATGCAGTACACGAGGGTCTCGAACCAACAGCCCTCAAACCACGTCCTTGAACTCACATCCTCCAAGTCCCTTCTCAAGAGACCGAATCACTTGACCGTACGATTCGTCGTGTTTAGGTTATGCAACAAACTAATAATTTGATAAATATGATAATTTAACTAAACCGGTAGTGCTAGAGAATGGCACAGACTTTCTCGTACTAGTTAGTTTCGAATTCTCATGTGTCTCGGGTAGCATTTCGATTTTGCCCCAACCCCTTCCTAGCTTCTATCTCCTGGAGTCTAAAAGACCTTCCAGGACGTCTCGCCTATCGTTCTCCTGGGGACTTTCCCAGAGGAAAGCAACATCGCGTAGCCCTACCTCGGCCCTGAACCAATACAGAGTTGCCCATGGTTTTCCTTGGCCCTATCTCGGTGCTTATACCAGTAGGTGTAGGGATGTAGTTCCTCAACTACACACAGAATCCACATGCGGTCGCCTGACAGGACAAGATATTATGAAAATATAAACATATAGGTGTAATACACGGGGGACTAGAAATGCCCTACACACAAAGATCACATATTAAAACCGTCACGCCTTATGCAGGTTTCGTACCCATAGCCTTAGCATCGAAGAACAGGGGCTCAACTGCCAAAATCCTTTTATCATGAGGCCGAGTCACTCGATATTTGCAAACGTGTTACAATTATGCATCAATGATAATTTAATAACAATAGTAATAATAATAATAATAATAATAATAATAATAATAATAATATCGAAACCTAGCCGGCTTATCACAGAGACATCTTACATACCATTACGTACATACCACCTTGGAAGAGACGGCTGGAGGAAAGAATTCAAAACTTATATCTAATATTATTATTCTAGACGCCTTCCGAAGGGAAAGTCAAAATGCGCACATTAGGAGAACAGTATCGGGAATTAGGAAGAAAGTTGTAAGCATGCACAGTATAACACCGAAAATAGGAATATTACTGATGTTATAGATACTTGTGTAGTCTCAACGATTACAACACTGTACCAGAAGCTTTAGAAGGAAAACTGACAATCAGGATTTTGTCAAAAACCAGGAAATGTTCTACGAGAATTGAGGAGAGAAGATCATACAGAAACGTTAACCGAGAAGTCAGCAGTAGAAAATCACTGGGCCGAAATCAGGTCAACAAGAGTCATTTCCTATCCAATGCCTTGCTGAGCGAAGTGTCAAACATCTCAAACAATATCAAAGTTATGGAAGTTTTTAATGAATCAATGGATATTCTAAAAGCATTTATTAACAAGTTACAGAATTGGAATTGCTCTGGTCTAGATGGGCTTCACAAGTTTTGGATTATATGATTGACCTGTCTCCATGAGAAGATTCTGATGCTCACAAAGCATTATCTGAACCATCCTGAAGAAGGTTTTGTGCGAGGGTATCACCGCCATGAAGCCAAAAATAAGTGATCCCACAGATCCCGAACAATTTAGACCTATCACTTGCCTCAATACATTATATAAAATCATAACTAGCTGTTTAAAGCTACTCAGAGGCGAACGAAACAATATTCTCTCGAGGATCCAGAAAGGCTGTTGCAAGGGTTCGTTGGGTTGCAAGGAGCTGCTTGTGATTGTGTAATCATGTCTCAGGCGTCTGGCATAAAGCGCGATCGCCATACTTGTTTTATTGACTATAAGAAAGCATTTGAAATGGTCCTACATGACTGGCTGCTGTAAGTTTTAAAAACGCATGGTATTAACCATATAATCCTAAGATTTCTGATGGGCGCAATGAATGGCAAACAACAATACATATGTCAACAAGTGATGAAGGAACCATCACCAATGTATTAAGAATCCATAGAGGCATCTTGAAGGGTGATAGTATCAGTCCATACTGTTTTTGTCTTGTCATGAATCCCCTCTCCCTTTTTGGAAAACATGTGAGGATATAAAATGAAAGCCATTAGGAAATATGTTAGTCATCTAGCGTTCATAGACGATATCAAGTTGTTCTTAGGAACCTTGCAGGGACTTAAGCAGCTCATACATGTCACCGAAAGATTCTTCACCGACATAGGAATGCAATTTGGTACTGAAAAACTCACTAAATCCTACAGCAGCAATTAATATGTACGGAATTCCAATTATTACATTTACATGGAGGATCTTTAAATGGTCGAAAACAGATATTGAATCCTTGGAAAGACTTATGAGATAGCTTCCAAATTCACCATCCAAAAGACTCAATCCAAAGGGTCACACTTCCAAGAATAATGGGAGGTCGCGGCATCCTTAAAATCAGCAGTAATTCATATAAAACAGATTATCAGCATGAGGGAGTACTTCCGGGCGAAAGCTGTATCATCTCATTTACACAGAGTGTCAGAGAATGATTCAATTTTTTCTTTATATTTTCTCCTCTTAAAAAGGATGATAATAAAATTAGTGCGAGTGTCATTTCCGGGGAACTCTGGATGTTTTCGTAAATTACAAAATATGAACAATGCAAAACTGCAAAACTACAAAACTAGGATAGAGATTTTGCCGCGAACAATATCTGTTCTAAAAATTCAGCTCTTTCAAAAAGGTCATTCGCATGATTTCTGCTTGAATTATATATAATTTATAAAAAGAATATTTTCTCAAAGAACCCTCC